CCTTACTTCTAGGAGCAAGGACGCTACTTGGGGCTCCTGACATCGCTACTAGGAACAAGGACGCTACTAGGGGCTCCTGGCCTTACTACTAGGAGCAAGGACGCTACTACGGGCTCCTGGCATCGCTACTAGGAGCAAGGACGCTACTAGGGGCTCCTCGCATCGCTACTGGGAGCAATGTTCGCTACTCGGGCTCCTGGCATCGCTACTAGGTGCAAGGACGCTACTAGGGGCTCCTGGCATCGCTACTAGGAGCAATGTTCGCTACTACGGGCTCCTGGCATCGCTACTAGGAGCAAGGACGCTACTAGGGGCTCCTGGCATCGCTACTAGGAACAATGTTCGCTACTACGGGCTCCTGGCATCGCTACTAGGAGCAAGGATGCTACTAGCAATGTTCGCTACTACAAACTCATCCGCGGAGGAAGTCCCCCGGGCCCACCTTCCGTGAAGAAGTCTGAGCCATTCTGCGTCCAAGCCTAGTGGCGCTACTTACTAGTAGCTTACCTATTCTACCAGACTTAAACTCTAACCGACTGGTCTACCCTCCTTGGTACTTAAACTATTTTAAATTCACACTTAGTTGTTTCTATTTCTTTTGTCCAATGTTCTCATGTGCTTTGATGTGCCTTTTGTATGCTTTGTGGATCTCAATGGCATTCCATTTTCACAGATATTACTTCGCCTTCACTTCGTTGCATTTGTCCTTCTATGTCCATTGACGTATCCTTTTACTTCATTTCACCATTTTCTTCACCCATTCATTCATTCCCATATTCCATGTCTTCTCTTCCTGCGATTTGCCCTCTGTGCGATTCTAGGCCTGGAGCTCTGGAACGCCCGTTGCAATTCAGCCTGTTGGAGGGCACTTGGAATTTGTCAAGGACGAAGTGCTGCAAGCAGCGAAGAGTAAAACACAGAAGAGAACAAAGAGAACATTAGAGAAAGAAACATCGGTACAAGTGTTTTACTTTGTCAGACTAAAGCATAAGACAACATGTCTAAAGGGGCGTGCCTCCATTGAGACACATTGACCAGGACGAGGAGAATTCTTATCTTGTTGACTTTGACAACAGCCAGAGGGCTCGCGAGCATCTCTCAAGGATAGTTGCTGGAGGCAGATCATGGCCTTCAACCGGAGCAAAGGACTTGACGAACACACAGGGCAGAGAGAGAGACAAGCAAAGGAATGACACGGAGCATCAAGCTCCCATATTTGTTGTTCTTGTGAACTGATGTGGGATTTGATGATTGATTTGTCCCAATTTGAGTGGCAGGCACCAAAGCAGCTGTCGAGCCTTGCCTCTCTAAGATGGGAGAGCACTTCCGACAGCTGAACTTTTCAGGTGAAATTCAGAGGCGCTGAGCGCTTTTGTTTTGCGAAACAAGGAGGACAGAAAGGACTAAGGTCTAAGGAACGATCAGAAAGGACACAGCAAGGACACTTGTTGGACACTTAGAAAGAGTTTGCAACGACAAAAGCAAAGAGTTTGTTTTCGTTGGCATTATGCTTTGGGCGAACACTCCCGAGGGTAGTAGGTAGTAAGGGGCGTGCATGAAGTGGCTGCGTTCAGACATATTTCTTGTAAATTGTAAATAAATCCATTAAAGAACAAGTGCCTTACTAGTAGTAACAAGAAGCTACTAGGAACAAGTGCATCGCTTCTAGTAACAAGTGCCTTACTAGTAGTAACAAGAAGCTACAAGAAGCATATTACTTAATTGTAAATTGTATATGTTCGTTCCTTTAAAGAACTCATGTTTTTTCTCTGTCTATTTAGGGAGGGAGGTAGGGAGAGGCAAGGAAGCTACCTAGGAAACTTGTCCTTCCTTGAAACACCCTTACACTGGTCAAAACGGTGCCTAGGAAGCGGTTTTAATTCTTTGGGAAATGCTTGATATGAGAAGAATAAGGAACAACAACGGGAATAAGAATGTAAGGGCCAGGGCAATTTCAAAGAGATTTCGTTAAAGGGGCCCTATTAAAGAGGTCCTTGCCTTCTTATGTTTCCCTTTAAACAGTTCAAGTGCACTTCACCGGAGGCTTTTGCTCGATCCAGTCCTTGCAACTGCTGCAACCTGGCGAGCTCGGAGTGTGCTTGAGATTCTGCTGCGAGGGATTCTCTTCTTAGCGTGCTGCGTAGTTTGGCCAGCCACCATGGTGTGAGTCTTAGGCTCCAGATGCTTCAGCTTGCACAAGATACGGCCGTTTTAGAAGCAGCATGGCACCTTCGTTGTCAGGTGTGGTCCCGTGTGTACTTCGCAATGTCGTGCGACCCGAAGTACAGGCATGTGGATGTGGCAAAACAACTGTGGCAAGCGAGATCATAGTGTCACTGGTGTCATCTCCAAGAATGTCAAATCACTGTAAGCCATATTGGTCTCCACTCTTTGCTCGCAACTTCCAGGCATGTGGCCCCTGGTAGTGCTAATGAGCCTGACTTTGAGTCCAAGCCATCAGGAGTGAACTTTTGGGCTGCAGTTTAGGCGTTCTTGCAGGATATCGTACGGGGTGCTTGGCATTCCAGACTCAGACTGTGTACGGTTGAGATCCACACTTAGTAGAAAGGAATTGAAAGCGAAGAAGGAACCTATATAACAAGGAATATTTACTTTTTTTTGAAAGGAACCGCTGCAGGAGGATCCAACTCGCTCCAGGAATCCTGCTGCTCAACTTCAGCTACTCACGATGAAAGCGCAAGGCAAGAGTAAATGCTTCACTTGCTTGTCATGACTCACGACAATTGCTTTGTCATGTGCTTACTCAGAGCAGCCCTTTTCTGTTTTGGCAAGGCCGCTTGTTCAAAGTGACAACTCAGACGCAAAGGGCTCAGTTGTGCGACAGCTCACTAAGTAGTACAAACTGGAGCTATTTCCACAAAGATTGCAAGAGTTCAACTTTGCTACTTTAGTTGAATCGTCTCCTAGCAACAAGTGGGTAGTGTGCACTCATTTGGAAATATTGGGCTTGAGGGAGAAGCAGACCAGCAAAGCATGTCAGGTCTAATTCTGTGCTGAGAAGCTTTTCCTGCGCTGCCAAATGAGCTCGCTGAGAAAAGATGCCTCAGGTCTTGCCAAGAGGGTTACAAGTGCCACGCTAGTAGTAACAAGTGCCACGCTAGTAGTAAGTGTTACAAATAGCTTCATGTTTACTAGTAGTAACAAGAAGCTACTAGGAACAAGTGCATCGCTTCTAGTAACAAGTGCCTTACTAGTAGTAACAAGAAGCGACTAGGTTACATGCTTCGGAGCTGCAACTCCAGTGACTGCAGACATTGTCGAAATGAAGCCAGGAACCAAATGAATAGCGTGAGCTATCCTGCATCCAGTAGCTAGTAGCGTCCTACTTAAAATCAACCAGCCCAGGGTACCTCTTAATAGCGAAAGGCATGTTTTAATGGCAAAATCCAGATTTTAATTGCGAACATGAATCTTGTAATTGCGAAATGACACGCTGGTTGCCACCGCATGGCTGAGTCAACCTGGCTCAACATGGCAGAGCTGGGTCTCTGCCAACACGTCGCAGTGGGTGGGAAATTGCAATTGAACTTGGATCAGGTCCAAAAAAACTAGGAACAGCCTAGTGAGTTGCAAGACCTCCCTCAAAGTGATTTCGGGCAGCGAAAAGACAAGCAATTGGAGGGGGCTTTACCACTTCATCAAAATGTTTTCGCGCAGCCTAAATGCAAATTTGGAGGGGTCTTTGCCGCTTCACATCCTTAAGACAATTGGAGGGCAGCTGAAAGGAAAATATTGCGGCTTCCTTGGTTGCAGACATTAGGCCGTTTTTCCTAAAGTTTTTTTGTACGTTGAACGGCACAATTAACAAGTTTCGCAATTAAACACCACAATTTTGCGATTAAGGATTTGCCCGTTTTCGCTATTAAGGGCGCCCTCCTACCAGCCTTACGCGCCTACTGAATTAAGTAAGGGCGAGGGCAACTCGGGCTTTAAACAATATTCGGGCAAAAAGCTACTAGGGGCTCCAGGCCTTACTAGGAGCAAGGACGCTACTAGGGGCTCCTGGCATCGGTACTAGGAGCAAGAAGCTACTAGGTTGGAAGCTCTCAGCCCGTCCAGGAGTGCGCAGGAGTCCATGATCGTCTCTGCTGCCATCAGCCTTTGTAGTAAGAAGGGCAAGCCAACATAGTTTCCGTTCATGTAGGATCTAGATACATTCGGCACCATGGCCATGATGATGCCAGACTTTGCAAGGTCCTCAGCGAAAAAGGTCTTGACCTTTTCAAGCGACTTGCAGAGGTATGTGCTCGATGTATGCTTAACGTGGCAGGATGAGAGCCTCAAAGTTGCAAGCTGGGCTCCAGACTTCTCGCGGTGTCTTGTCCGCGAGGTTGGACAAGTGCAATCGCAAAGCAACATCACAGTGGTGCAAATTGCTGGTGATGTCCATTTCCTGGAGGAAATGGATCAAGCCCTACAGATCGCCAACAAGGAGCATTTCCCTCACCCAACCGACCAATCGAGAGTTTGTTAAGTGTGCTGCAAGCTTGAGCTATCCTGCGTCCCTAATGTAGTAACTTAAGTAGCTAGCAGCTAGGAGCTTACTCCTTGACTTAATTAGGCGCCTACTAAATCATGTAAGGGCGGGCAAAAAAATACTAAAAAGCAAAACGCATAAAGCTATATATTTTTCCATAGGATTCTTCAATCTTCTGCTCTTCCTCCTCTTCCTTTTTGTGCGCTTTCTGCAGAACCAGACGACCACAAGTGATAGACCCTTCAAATTTCTAGATTCCCACCGCCACAACCCTTTATTCTATCTCTGCACTTCTGCTATTCATCTGAAGAACTTCTTTTGGCTGCGCTTCTTCTGTGCTCTCTTGGCACTATGACTGGACCTGCAGATGTAGTTGAATGATCCGAAAGTGGAGAAAAGCATGCTGTGGCCATGCACCTGGTTAGACCATAGACAAGGTGTAAAGAAGTGAGGAGGACGGTAGCGTCCTTGCTCCTAGTAGTACGGCCAGGAGCCCCTAGTAGCTTCTTGTTACTACTAGTAAGGCACTTGTTACTAGTAGCGATGCACTTGTTCCTAATAGCTTCTTGCTCCTAGTAGCAAGAGAAGTGCTTGTTGAAAGGCCTTGTGTTGTCAGGCTCTTGAGGATGCCCGTGATGCACGGGCGAAAGCCTTCGCACTCGGTGCCGTGGCGCGAGCGCAGCTCCTTGGACGGGAGCTGCTCAAAGCTGTGGAGGTTGGGATGGAATGAATGGCCCAAGCCATTTAGAAAGAACAAACGCCAATGTTTGCTGACTGGAAAGAGACAGTATCTTGTTTATTCTTTTGCAGGCAGCTCAGCAGGCTGTTGAAGCAGCGAAAGGGGCCAGCAACCCAAGGAGTCATATGGAGTAAGAAAGGCTTCGCAGATTCAGTGATTCCAGAATGGCTGAGGCAGATCAGCCTGCACAAGCCATGTCTCAGCGAAACGCGGCCAAGGCTTAATGCAAACGACATTTGTCACTTTCCTAAAGTTTCCTTGTTTCTCATTGGAGGCTTACTTGGCTACATTTAGCCTAGAGGAAGCTGCTGCTGCGGCAGATGCTGCTGTTTCCGTTGTGTGCTCCCCAGTCGCTCTGGTCTAGAGACTAGACTCTGCTAGACTAGAGCTTTGTTCCAACATGTTCCGACATTTATTGATGCCTGCCTACCTGCCTTTTCGATGTTGAGATGCATCACGCAAAGCCCAGTGATCAGCACTTGGTTTGAAGATGACATAGATCTCATTGAACAACATGTGCATTCGAATCATTCGTGCTGGTTTGTCTTGTGTGCAGTGTTTTGAAGCAACGCTTGTCGCATCACCCTTTCTCAGACATTTCTGCCACCATGGCTCATGGCTAACTTGAGGCTCAAGGCAATGCAAAGGCGGCAGCACTGTCTACGCGAGCGCAGGCAACAAACTGATGGAAATGGCGTTGCATATGATTTCCTTGCCAAGTTGGCCAGGTTTGCCTTGCCAGAGACAAAAAACAAGAAGCTTTAAAGGCAGGTGCTTCAGAGATTTGGTGGGTAGTTCAGGTTGGTTCGGTCTACAGGGGAACTTTCTGACAAAGCCTTTCATTACATGCTCTCATTGCTGTGCCACTGCCACATATATAGATCTTTTCCTGATGTGTATTCTGCATCTCGAGATCTACTTGCTCCCACTCATCGAAAGTATTCGAACCTAGGTAGTAGTAGTAGTAGTAGTCGTAGTAGTAGTCGTAGTAGTAGTAGTAGTAGGTAGTAGTAGGTAGTAGTAGGTAGTAGTAGGTAGTAGTAGGTAGTAGTAGGTAGTAGTAGGTAGTAGTAGGTAGTAGTAG